ATTTCCAACATATTTTTGAGAATATGCTATTTACTTAAGCCTGTATCACATTGCTTGTACATCTTTCAATCATGATGTGCTGAGGAAAAGATCTGTGTGGTGGAGGATGTGAAGCTGACTCTCAGTACAAGCGATTCATTAGGGCGATCTCATTGTGAATGAAATTCAGTGTATCCTAATCGAACAGTGTGTCCTAAACCAATAATCAAGTAAACCGTTGAATTTAGTCGGGAACTAAGCGACACCCTAGTAGAACTTCTTGATCCAAGAAGCTGCAAGAAAGCAAGAAAAAAACAAGAAAGTGGGATACTTATTGTCATTTGAATTTCGGTTATAAGAAAAGCACGACTTCGAGTCGTTTTTGCAGTTTATATCTCCTGCTTTTGCCTATTCCGCGTAAAATTTGAGAGAAACAAGTAATTACTAAAGCAACACATAGCAGGTTCAGTGAGCAAGTAGAGAGGTGAATTCTTCCCACTTTTCCAACATATTTTCTTTGATCATTGTGAGTGTACAAAAAAGAATAAAATCTTTCTCAGAAATAGTTTGTAGTATACGACTATGGCATAGTGAGAGAAACTCCAGAAACCAATTGTACCATGTTCTCGAAGAAAAGTCCGAGTAAAACATAGTACAGTGAAGTCTAAAAACTGTCGCAGAAAATATAGCATTAACGTACAACAATCTCTCTGTGTGATGAATGACAGCTCTAGCTAATTCGATGCACTTCAGTTGCATTCGATATCTGCTCAATAGAGTTGTCTGTTCTGATTCAAAGACAACTAAAGCGTATAAGAAAATGTTGAAAAATAACGAAAAGGTTTATTATAAGCAAGAAAAATACTTATACTTATTGTTTTCGTTTTCTATCATCTCTACTTGATAGTAGACCAGACGACAAGAGTATAGATTCGTAGCTCAGTAAACTATAGAGACGATATGAAACTATTGGTTATGCGAAAATCGACGCGAAACAGCAACACCTACAGTATAAAATGTATGTACTAGCTGAAGAGGGTTGATAGCACAATAGATAAAACCTATTTATGATGAAACAGAATCGAGGTTCAAATCCTCGCCAGCGCGTAAATTTTTTTTCGAATATTTTATAAAGGCCCCGACTTTAATTTTCGGAAGTACTCCGGACTAAAAATCATGGACCCATAGGCAATCGACCACGTTGATTTCGAATATCGCCTTCCCCCGGACTCAAATCGCATCTGAAAATTTCGAAGTCTGGCGATATGCCATAAGATTTCTGTAAGATTCTAATCTGATTTCCGTACTTTCAGTCGCCAAGGGTGAGACGTTTTCCATCAGAATTTTTCATAAAGATTTTAATTACAGAACTAACTTTGCTAATGCAAAATAAAAGAACAAATACGAGCATTCTCGTGTACAAAATAAGGAAAAAATGGTTGTTTTCGAAAATAATCCTATAATTGAGTAACATCGATTCCGCTTATGACGTTAGTGTATACCAGCAGAAGAGACGCTTTCTCTTGTGTGATCGAAAACGAATTTGTTGAAATGTTTTGAATCATCCTAAATCTTGTTTGCTGCAGCAACAAGATTTAGTTATGTTACATGTAAGCAAAATATTGGTATTGATTTTATATTTATTAGAAAGCTTATGTACAGAGATGAAACTGGTCTATTTTGAATTAAGATTAAGATCCAGTGAGGTGTATTGAAACGTGAAGTATATCATCATTTTTTTCGAACTAAATTACTTAGAGTTTTGGCCAGAAAATATTTTTGTTGTTAAAAAGGTATCTGAAATCATTTTTACAACAGATTATGACCATTAACACACATCTGAAACGAACAATGCAGAAACATACCGTTATCGTTATACCTTTTTCGTTTTCAGTAGTATCAGTAAATGTGTTTTATTTCTCTCCAAGTGTCTGATTGTCGCCATATCCGCACGTGAGCAATGAAAACAAGAAATATTTTTCTTAGTGAGCATATGAATTATTCAATGGTAACTTATTGACCAATAACATTCTGTTCTTAAGTAATTCCATGCAATCATGGTGAAAAAAAGTCTAGATGCCCAGTACTATGCTGTACAGGAAAATTGAAACCTTGTCAAAGTTTATTTTTTTCATACTGAAACAATTAGTCCCATACAGTGGCGGCGCAAAGAGGTAGGAGCACACAGCTGTAGTTCCAAAAATTGTAGTAAATTCACTCTATTTTTCCATAAAATTAGAGCAAATCTCTCGCATTTTTGGCTAAAGTCGGAACAATTCTCAGCAAAATTGCTGAAAGCAGGAAATGTACACTTCCTTCTCACATACAACAGCGGCACGGCCACTGGTGTCATCGAACAGTTGTCTGAACTTTATTATATTAATTCCTATGTATTTTAACTATTGTCTATGTCAAAACGTAGACTGTCTCTTCTCCATTCTTATCAATTTCTATTTTTCTACAGTAAAATGGATCTTTTACCTTGTGTGCAACACCTTATGTGTGATCATCGTGAATTCTAACTATGATTCGTTACCCTAATTGAAACTTCTCAACTCCTGACACGGGATCCCGTAGAGAATCCGGTGGGACTTAAGGGACCCCTCATGGCTCCCGCAGGACTCTGAACACTCTCTAGTCCCACAGGAGTCCTGTGGGAGTGTTAACTAGGGTATTTACACGTACAATATAGTATATACAGGTCTCAATCATGTTTTAGTATTGTAACCAGGAATATCAGATCCAAAACGTGAAAATCAGAAAAAGAAATTACAAAATCAGAAAATATAATTACAAAAGCAGAAAAGCGTTAGTGTTCTGGTACAAAAAAGCAGAAATGGGGCAGAAAAAGGTTTAAAAATCAGAATTTTTCTGCCTAAATCAGACGATCTAGGATCACTGATTGTAACTCAGTCTTTTTGAAAAAATGTTATTTATATAAAAGTATAACGATTGTTGAGTATAGAGGTGTAGAATCTGCCGTAATTTTGAAAAATTTTTCTTGAAATTTCCCCGGGTAATGCAATTTTTCAAAAAATTTCCCGCTCCGCCCCCCCCCACGCGGGGGCGCATGAGGAAGATTCTGCACCTTAACTTTAGTAATTAACCCTTTGTTTACCATTGCTCGACCATGATAGCTAAGGGCTTCTAAATTTTTTTACAGTCATTGTTCTCACCGAATAATGATCACCCACAAAGTTTAGGTTTCTTTTCCTAGATGGTTCGTCAGATGTAAGCGTTTCATTTCTTTCTCGTAAATGCTAATAACTCCTGACCCAAGAGAGGTAAACACTTTTTCTTTTTATCAAAGTGTAGCCCAGACTCTCTTCTATCTATGATATGAATTTGAAATGTTACCTCTTAATAGTTACTGAAATACAACTATTTTACGACTGAGGGTCACTTTTGAAGTTTGAGTCCCTCTTCCAAAAAAATTCATAACTCAATCTAGAAATATTATCTCTGTAGGTTTAATTCTTATAGGTTTACCTTTAATATTTATAGTTAAAGGCTACGTTTCCCGAAGTAACTTTTCGCGAGGAATCCAATGGTAGTCTCAGAAATTCTTGAAAATGTTTCTATCCCGAAATAAGTACTCAGTCAGTCATAGTCATCTAAAAAAAGCGCGAAAACGCGAGTTTAGCTTTAAAATATCGCACGAAACTCTGTTTACGAAAAATTTACCGCGACAAATTCTTTTGAAAAAAAAGCGGAGAATCGTGTTTGACGTAATCATAGGTTGCATTAAACGCGCTAAATTTTTCGTAAACAGAGTTTTGTACGATATTTTAAAGCTAAAGCCGCGTGAAAACGGATTTTCAAAACATATAGGTGACTGACTGGGGGTGAGCAACCAAGGGTCGTCCATTCTACCACAACTTTTGTGGTTAATGTCCGTCATAATCATGTAAAAATATAGTAATGAAACCTTTGGGGGAAAAATATCCGTAGGTAAAATATTGTGACAAAGACTTCACACTCACCCTAATCCCAAGTCATTTTATTTATTTTGTGCCCTTCTCACTTTTCATTTACTTGCAAGCAAAATTAAACACATATTAGAGATCAGTAGACAAAACTGCATCGATACATACATCTTGATGTCTTTTTACGTTCAAGAGTTATTCGGAAATCGGAAAACTTAAAAAAAGCGTCCTGAATTCGGGATGCTGGTAAATAAACGGTTAAATGAGATCTCTAAAATGTCGTTGAAATAGTTCGTCAGAAGCACTTCAACCATCGATCCACCTTTGTCTCATATTCAAATTGTTCGTGGTATCTGAGAAAGAATGACGCAAAAGTCGAATAAAAAGCTCTCGGAAAGAAGTAGAATCTTGCTGAGCAGTGCGTCTATCTCTTATAACTTGACTTTTATTTTGAACATCATATTTGGTGCACCTAACCTATATATGCAAAAGATAAAAACAACGGAAAACAACTCGCTCGTTTTTAAGAAAGAAAACAGTTTTTACATGTTCAACATTTTTAGCTGCACATTTAATTTTTTTCAGTTGGCTGCCCCGATTGTATGAAACGTTGTACACATGGTAAATGTAACAACTCATCACATGAATACGATCTATTTGTTAAACTCGTTTTAGAATTTTATTTAACAACTTTTAGATCGATCATATTTATACGTTCATACAATTATCATTGTTTAATTTTCGATGATTGATTATAAAAAATATCCCCGTTTAAGTGGTTCGTTACGAGCTCACAGTGGAATTGCCGAAAAACTACATTATCGTGGAGATATTGATGAACTTCAACGTCGACGTGAACAAGAGAAAATTAAATACGAACGAGAATATGAAGTCAAATGGGATAATTTAGTAGCGTTAATTCGAACGAATATTCACGATGGACAACAAGAAAGTGAAAAAGTCGAACAAAATCTAAAGCAATTAAGAAAATATGCCCTTGAATTCGGTACGATAATAAATATTATGATTTTTTTCTTCAAAGTTTAGTCCCTTTTTCTTTTATTTTAGCTGGCAACGATTCGACCTCAGATAAAATTGATGATGTATGCGTCTATTTAATTGATATGTTCCGGATAGTTCAACAAATTCAAATAAGCCATTTAAAACAGTTAAAATTACGATTTCCTACTCATACATCGATGTTAGTAAATCAAACATTTACTTTAATTCGAAACCTGATTGATACTCAATTGAATACTGATACTTTTCTCGAACAATACGATCAGTTAAAACGATCAAAAACTATTGATGCTCATTCAACTTCTTCGAGTTCAATATTTGGAGATTGTACAATGTATCATGCACTAACAATAACCATTCCATCTCGACCATGGGAACAGCGTTTGAAATATGATCAACAATGGTGAGAACAATGTACAGAGCATGTGTATACAATATTGAGTGAATAAACAGAAGATAATAGAGTAGACGTTGATTTCGTTTTCTACTTCTTCCTTATTTCTCTCCACTACACTGTAAACTATCCTGATATTTGAAATTATTTCGTTTGCGGTTTAGGTACGAACAAAATCAAAAGAAAAAACAAGTAGAAGATGAAAAAGACAAATTCAATGCTTATCTAAATGAACCAGCCACAAAACAATCATCTAAATCATCTTCAACAACATCTGGTAGTAAATATACAACAAAATGGTTAGAAGATAGTTTAAAATTGATTTTATTGTCACGTAATGAAAAAGAATTGAGACAACAAGAATTTTGTAATCTAGTATTTGAAAATTTACTATCAAAACAAACGAATGATGAACTTCAAACTTCACTGTGTGATATTTTGGGTTATGATCAAATCGAATTTGTATTTGAATTAATACAAAATCGACAAGATATTATCAATGGAATATTAGAGAATGCTAAAGCAAAACCAAGACAAATAATTAGAAATGAACCATCATCAGTACAAGGGGATAAACAACAACCAAATTTAACACTATCGATTACTGTACAGACAGAGCAAGAAAAAAAAGTTGAAAAACAAATTCGTAAACAAGAACGAAAACAACAACAACAACCACAACCATCGTAAGAAATAGCTTACATTTATGATTTTATCTAATTTCGTTTTTCTTCTAGAACAACAATTGATAATTTAGTAACTCCCGAAATGTTACGTTACGAACGAGAACATCAATTATTAGTAGCAATGAGTAAACGCAATGACATGTTGGCAACAATAAGTGGCAGTGGTAGTCAACCACAATATAATCAAAATGTCAAATATCCATTTGTATTTGATCAATTACAAGAAATAAAGCGAACAACAGCTTATATTGGTGGACAGAATCTTCTTTTACCAGAAAATACTCAACGTAAAACGGCAAATACACATGATTTTGTTCATATACCAGCTGGTGAACAAATGAAACCTGCAGATACTCGAATATGTAAAGAATTAGTAAAAATTGCTGAATTAGATCAACTTGGTCAAATTATATTCAAACATTTGAAAACATTAAATTTAATTCAATCAATTGTGTATAAAACAGCTTATTTTACAAATGAAAATATGCTTATATCAGCGCCGACGGGTACGTAAGTTCATATAATTGTCAAACATATTTCTATTAATAATTATCTATGGTCAATTTTAGGTGCTGGTAAAACAAATATTGCAATGTTAGCAATAATCAATGAATTACGTAAACATTATGACACAACAAATAGTATTCTATTCGATTCTGATTTTAAAATAATTTATATTGCGCCAATGAAAGCTTTAGCATCGGAAATGGTCGATAATTTTAGTAAATATTTAGCACCCATTGGTATTATTGTGAAAGAATTAACCGGTGATATGCAATTAACTAAAAATGAAATTGAGCGAACACATATGATTATAACTACTCCAGAAAAAGTAGGTTATTCAATCATTAAATAATTATTTTTTATATTATTTTTAAATATTTTCAGTGGGATGTGGTGACAAGAAAATCAACAGGTGATACTAAACTGGCACAAGCCGTTAGATTATTAATCATTGATGAAATACATTTATTACATGAAGATAGAGGACCGGTTATTGAAGCTCTTGTAGCGAGAACATTGAGACAGGTAGATTTAATTATTTACTGTCTATCTATATATATATATACTAGCTTCACCATCTTTTAGGTTGAACAATCTCAATCAATGATTCGTATTGTTGGTCTATCAGCAACATTACCTAATTATATTGATATTGCTTTATTTTTAAGAGTTAATCTTCATAAAGGTTTATTCTTCTTTGATGGTCGATTTCGACCCGTTCCGCTAGCGCAATCATTTATTGGCATTAAAGGTGGAAATAAAATGCTCATACAAAAAAATACAGATGATATTTGTTATGAAAAAGTATTAGAACAAATAAAAAATTCTAAACAACAAGTACTCGTTTTTGTTCATGCAAGAAATGCGACTGTACGTACTGCTTTACAGTTATTGGAATATGCACGAAATCAAGGTGATGTAGAACATTTTATTTATAAACCGGAAAATAATGAGCAATCATCGAATCTTCAATATCAAGATGCCTTAAAACATATTCAACATTCAAAAAATGTTCAATTACGTGATTTATTTCCAAATGGTGTAGCAATGCATCATGCAGGAATGTTGAGAGCCGATCGAAATTTAGTTGAAAAATATTTTCATAAAGGATTTATTAAAGTTTTGGTCTGTACAGCTACATTAGCATGGGGTGTTAACTTGCCGGCTCATGCAGTTATTATTAAAGGAACAGAATTGTATGATAGTAAAAAGGGATCATTTGTTGATTTGAGTATTTTGGATGTTTTACAAATATTTGGAAGAGCAGGAAGACCACAATTTGATACAAATGGATTAGGTATAATAATAACATCGTATGATAAATTACAACATTATTTATCCTTGTTAACACGCCAAAATCCAATTGAATCACAATTTATACAACATCTAGCCGATAATTTGAATGCAGAAGTTGTTCTGGGTACCGTAACAAATGTTCAAGAAGCTTGTCGATGGTTGCAATATACATATTTGAATATTCGTATGCATCGATCACCTATCACATACGGTATTAATCATCATATGCAACAATTAGATCCACAGTTGTCTAGTTTTCAAAAAGATTTAATTATAAAAATAGCTAGAGAACTAGATCAAGCAAAAATGGTACGATTTGAGGAAAAAACAGAATATTTATCACCAACAGATTTAGGTAAGAGATTTTATACTTCAAAAGTTGATTGACGATGATAAATCTTTTCCTTTTAGGTCGTACAGCCTCGTATTATTATATCAATTATGAGACAATTCAAACGATCAATGAAAAACTATCAGATAATCAAAATATGAATGATGGTCAATTAGTTGAATTAGCATCATTAGCCGATGAATTTTCACAAATAAAAGTTCGTGATGATGAATTAGATGAACTGGATCAGCTATATGCATCCTCGTGTCATTTACCCGTCAAAGGTGGAACTGAAAATATTCATGGAAAAGTTAATATTTTAATTCAATGTCATATATCACGTGCACAATTAAAATCATTTTCACTCATATCCGATTTGTCCTACGTTAATCAAAATGTTGTTAGATTGGTACGAGCTCTATTTGATATTGTGTTGAAACGAGCATGGGCAATATTATCAAATCGTCTACTAAAATTAGCGAAAACAATTGAACAACGAATGTGGGATTATATTAATCCATTATGGCAACTATCAGCACATATTCCCGCAGAAATTTTACAAAAATTAGATGATAAAAGATTGACACCCGACAAGATATTAGATATGGATGCCAAAGACATTGGTAAGTGTTTTAAAAGGATTTGTTTATCTTTAAATTGTATTCTAAACGTTGTTATTCTAGGTATAATGATTCATGATCAACGGTATGCAAAAGATGTTAAACAGTACGCTTATAACATTCCTCAACTGACAATTGAATCACAAATTCAGCCCATTACTCGAACAGTTTTACGAATAAAATTAACAATAACGCCTAATTTTAAATGGTCAGATAAAATTCATGGTCAAGGTAGTGAACACTTTTGGATATGGATTGAAGATCCGGATACAGACAAAATTTATCATTCTGAATATTTTATAATAACAAAAAAACAAGTAAAAGCACAAGAACCACAATTGATTGTATTTACTATACCGATTATAGAACCATTAGCAAATCAATATTATGTAAAAGCTGTTTCTGATAAATGGTTAGGTAGTGATGCAACAACAATTATTAGTTTTCAAAATTTAATATTACCAGAACAACATATACCACATACAGGTAAAAATATTTAATATAATGGTTCTAATTGCTGTTATACTGTGTACTATATGTTCTGTTTATTTAGAATTACTTGATCTCGATCCATTACCTATTACAGCATTGGGTAATGTGGGATATGAATCATTATTCAAATTTAAACATTTTAATCCGATTCAAACACAACTATTTCATTGTTTATATCATACAGATTCGAATGTTTTATTGGGCTCACCAACTGGTAGTGGAAAAACGATTGCAGCTGAAATAGCTATATTTCGAGTATTCAATGTTTATCCACAAATGAAATGTGTTTATATCGCACCATTAAAAGCACTTGTTCGAGAGAGAATTAGTGATTGGAAAGTAAGATTTGAGCAACAATTAGGTGCGTTTCATCAATGAAAATTATTTTTTCATTTATTATTTGTAAAAATTTTACTATAGGTAAAAAAGTAATTGAATTAACTGGTGATTTCACGCCGGATACACGTGCACTTATGGAATCGGATGTTATTGTCACAACGCCGGAGAAATGGGATGGTCTTTCTCGTTCTTGGCAAACTCGTACATATGTTAAACAAGTAGCTCTATTGATTATTGATGAAATTCATATGTTGGGCGAAGATCGTGGTCCTGTCTTGGAAGTAATTGTATCACGAACAAATTTTATTTCATCACATACCGAACAGACGTTAAGAATTATTGGTCTATCAACAGCTGTAGCTAATGCAAGAGATTTAGCGGATTGGCTTGGAATTAAAACAAATTTAGGTCTATATAATTTTCGTCCTAGTGTACGACCAGTACCTTTAGAAGCTCATATTCAAGGATATCCGGGTAAAAATTATTGTCCACGAATGAAAGTTATGAATAAACCATGTTATCAAGCAATTCGAACACATTCACCAAAAAAACCGGTGCTCATCTTTGTTAGCAGTAGAAGACAAACACGTTTAACAGCAGAAGATCTAATGTATGTTCATTCATGTGTAGTTTTATATATATTCTATTCTATTATTTTATTTTTAGGTTACATGTGATTAATGACGATTCTCCAAAACAATGGTTACATATGCCTGAAGCTGAAATGACAAATTTATTAACTCAAGTATCGGAACCAAATTTAAAAAATACGTTATCATTTGGTATTGGTATTCATCATGCCGGTTTAAAAGATCGTGATAGACACGTTGTAGAAGAATTGTTTGTTAATCAACGAATACAAATATTAGTAGCAACAAGTACTTTGGCATGGGGTGTCAATTTTCCAGCACATCTTGTTATTGTTAAAGGTGAGTATAATACATTCATGTACTTTAGTGATTTTTGTTTTTGTCATCTTTTAACTCACTCACATTTAAGTCATTATGAATAACATAACCTATTTATTCTTCTATTCTAGGCACAGAATATTATGATGGTAAAACTCATCGATACGTTGATTTTCCTATTACTGATGTTCTACAAATGATGGGTCGTGCTGGACGCCCTCAATTTGACGATCAAGGAAAAGCAGTTATTATGGTTCATGATGTGAAAAAAAACTTTTATAAAAAATTTTTATATGAACCATTTCCTGTTGAATCAAGTCTTTTAAATGTATTATCCGACCATTTAAATGCTGAAATTGTTAGTGGTACAATATCAACAAAACAAGAAGCAATGGATTATATGACATGGACATATTTTTTTCGTCGTTTACTCGTAAATCCAACCTACTATAATTTAGAAGAAGTTGAGGAAAAATTATTGAATAGTTATTTGAGTGATATTATTCATAAATCATTTTCAGAATTAGAACAAGCCAATTGTTTACAAATTGATCAACAAGATCAACGTACAATAAATTCGACAATTTATGGAAGAATAGCATCACACTATTACATTTCCTACAAGACAATTGATATGTTTCAAAAACGGTTACAACAACAGACCACATTAATTGAACTATTGGATATTATATCAAGTGCAGAAGAATATGCAGAATTGCCCGTATGTAGTATTGATTCTGTATTAGAAATTAGATTATTTATCAATAGATTCGTAGACTTCTAGTGTCACATATTTTTTAATTTACTACAGTTTTGTTTGTTTTCTCTCATTTTAGGTTCGACATAGTGAAGATGAAAAAAATAAAGTATTAGCTCAAACATCGTTGGTGACTGTTAACGAATATAAATACGATGATCCTCATATTAAAGCCAACTTATTAATTCAAGCTCATTTTAGTCGTTCAGAGTTACCCAATGCCGACTATTATACTGATTTAAAGTCTGTTTTAGATCAAATAATTCGTATAATTCAAGCTCTATTAGATGTGAGTGCTTACAATGGTTTTCTACAAACAACAATTTGGATTATTAATTTTTTACAAATGGTTATACAAGCACGATGGTTGAATGACTCTGATCTTTTAACATTACCTAGTGTTGAACGAGAACATTTAAGTTTATTTAAGATTAAAACAGATTATATCGATTGTTTAGTGAAATTGTGTGAAGTATGTGATACTGGAAAACTTGATGTATTAGTGTCGATGTTAAGTAAACAATTTCAACGATCGGATATCGATAAAATATATCATCATATAACAAAACTCCCTCAAATTGAATTGACACTAAATATCAAAGGATGGTGGGAAAATGATCCAGAAATTAATAAACATGTAGATCTAATAACACAACCATTAAGTGTGAAACAGGCAAATGATAAAATTATACGATTACATGCTGATCAAGAATATTTATTGAATGTTCAATTAAAACGAATTAATACAATTAGAGTATGCATTATTTTATCACATAAAATGATATAAAATCTATATACTCTTAACAGAAAATTTTGTTTTATTTTTAGCGTCAAGATTTTCGTGTTATTTCACCACAATTTTCCAAGCCACGCGATGAAGGTTGGTTTTTAATATTAGGTGATATTGATAAATCCAATTTATTAGCTCTTAAACGTGTTTCACAGCCAGTTCGAAATCAATCACAAATTTCTATTACATTTATGACACCGTCAGAAGTTGGTCGATTACGTTTAACACTTTTTTTACTGTCTGATTCTTATTTGGGTTTTGATCAACAGTATGATATGCTTATTGATATTATTAAACCAAGTATTCAAAGTCAAGTAAATACGGAACTCGATCCATTACGAAATGAATTAGCTCAGAAATTAAGTGAACTTGCGTGAAATGAATATGTTTTTCGATTGTTATTATTGTTATTTTTTCCTTTTTATATATTTTTTAAATATATACATATAGATAACAGTGGCTAATATAAAACAAATAAACTTTGTTATTAAAACTATGAGATTATCATCAAATTTTGTTAACATCTTTAGTAGTTACTGTTAATTTAGTAGAAATTAAATTTTTATTTTATTTTTCTAGATGTTACTAAAAGGAACGTCACCGTTTGTAAATATTATACGTTCAAATTGTTATCGTAGTTCATTGACACGTTTTTCAAGAAGTGTTTATAGCAGATTATATCAGAATTATCTCGTGTTACCAGACGGATCAACGATTCGAATACGGTATAATGAACCAAGACGGTTAATTAAAGTAAGATATCGTATTGTTTTATTAATATATATTATTTCATTTGAGCTTTTATTATGTTCTAGTTGCCTGTTGATATAGCTAGTTTATCTGAAAAAGATCAAAAAAGTCGTTTATTACGTCGTTCAGCATCACAAAAAGAGAAAATTGAAACATCAATTGATACCTCCTATGATCCATTAGCATATATAAATCAATATGCAACAACTTCAACATCGAAAAAGACAACATAGATACTCTTAGCACTTTTGGCTTCTTGTCATTTTCTCGTATGTTTGTTAATCAAATATATTTTGCACTGACGTTTTGTTTTGTTTTTCATACAGATATTTTTAATTATAAAACAGCTACACTCATGTTAGAAAAACTATTTTGTTCATAACTTTTTATTAAGAGCAATTCTGATATTTTTAGTGAACATTAAAAAATTATGATTTAGGATATTTTTTCACATATATATGTCCTAGTTAAACAATGGCAATTATTGTTTGAGTTGGTAAAAATAATTATATTAGCGAATCATTCATTAATATCTTAATCTACTATTAAACATTACTAGAAAATGGAATGATTTGTCTCTAACAAATGTTAGAATATTAGCAGATATGATTTTTTGGTCTGATTTCTCTTATTTTTAGGCATAATATTGAAAATATAAGATTTGAATGGTAGAGCTGTTGGTTATATAAATAATTAGACAAACATTAAAAAGATGAAGGCATTGAACCATTTGCTGTTGTTATTGTTGATATTTGAAAAATGGATACGATGAGAAATTGAGACATTAAGAAATTCTCAAGTTAACCAAATGCAGCAGAGTACTAGAGATTTGTATAACTCACGAGGGAATCTTCCCAGGTAATTCACTCCAATTTTGATGAAACTTAGATTTCTAGGTATTATTTTTGTTGCTGATCACGAATCTCATATTCGTTTGTGTTCGTATTAGTACCGTCCTATAGAAATCAATTCTCTAGATCTAAATCTCCAGATGAAGAGATTCCAATTTGGTCAGTTTAAATAGAAGAGATCAAGTTATCTATGTGGAAACGTTTTAGGAAGTTATCAACAAGCTGTATAACAAACTGGAATAAGCGTAACTTGGGTTTTTTTAACAAAGACTTTTTATCTTTAAAGTTTTTTTAACTTTTTTTTGTCTCATTTATAAAATTTGAAGAAAATCTCTATTTTTCAAAATGAAAACTTAATTTTGGTGTCATTCGATAGAAGATATCAAACTGTGTATATAAAAAAGTTTCATCGTTCCTGGATGAAGTCTCACGGAAAATTTCAAGTTTTATGTTCATAATGGAATTTTAGAACTAAAAGTATTTTAAAACAAGCATTGAACCACGTTTTTCTCGGACGAAATATTTTGAAGCAAAACTGTGCGCAAAAAAGTTGTTTAGAATGTGCCTCTAAATATTATAAGTTCAGGAACACAAAAACGTTAGAATATCTACTTCAAAGTGTTTTATACAAACTGGTTGAGAGAACATTTCTTTCCATCTTGGCATAAAAAAGAATACTCTATACGCGTTCAGTATACTAGAAATATCACTCTACAATAGTAATATCTCAAAAAGTGAGTGCCCACACTTTCAACTAGAAATAAGTTACCAATCGTTTTGTAGAATTTTGAAAGAGCTTTCTTCTGATACATAATGTAGACCGCAACCTAAGTTCTTTCATGGTAAAAAGAATAGAAATATTATCGTTGACTATGCTGAAAAGGTCATGCTTCAACAGTAATATTCAAGCAAGTCGGTGTTCGCAGTGTACATGACAATTGAGAAATAGATAGTTTTGTTCGTCGTGTAAAGCTACATCGAATAGTATGTAAAAATTTCCTTCAAACTTATTTTATTTTGAGAAAAGCACCAAAAACACACTGCAATGGGTTTGCGAAGGTATTATTTAAAGGTAATCGATTTTCTTACAGATATTAACTTTAAAGGGAAGCTAGAGGTCTAGAATACCATAAAATCGCTTTCACTCTTTCATTCTGGATACCTTTCGAGAAAATTTGAAATGGTGTCGATTCTCGTTCTTATTGCATCTACTCCTTCATAAAGTTTGATTAGGTAACGTCTGTTCTATTAGATGCTTTCAACAAGTGAAAATGTAGTGAAAAAAAACATTGCTTATCACTGATTTTTTATTAGATCAACCATTAGTTTTGATGAAAAATCGCCGAAAATAAATCGCTTTTTGAAGACAAAGCTAACCTTTGGTCGGAAAATTAATTTCTGCACGATATGCCATGCACTTTTTCCTAATCTTTTTTTCAAATTGTGTGTTTAGTCAAACGTTCCCGGGCCAAAAACAACTGACATTTAATAGGATATAAATGGTTAACGAAATGGCTAACAATACGGTTTCAACAGATTTTTAATTGTGACAAAATGGTCATTGGTCAACGGTCAGATTCTTGGCTATAAGTAACCAATAAGTACACAAAAATGGTCATTAAACGATCACTATTAAATGCTTGTTTTCAGCCTGTTTCTTGGCCCTTAAAAATATGACACTTCCAAGCATTACCACGTTCCCAGTTATAATGCCGAAAATTGGTTAAAAACCGGTGTTAACTAGCTAAAAAGCGTCATGTAAGATACATTTTGTGGGTTGTTAATAGGCATTTAATAGACAATAAATTACACTGTTTTCAACGTTCTGAGTTATTTTGACTTTCACTTTTCAAGCAACAAGTCTTTTCATACTTTTCTATTTATGACATGGATTGACAAAGTGGTGACATAACCCTCATAATAGAAGATTATGATCGATGGATGGTTTCGCACATCTGTACTAGAGTACAGTGTAATACATACGTACACAAAAATTTCTGTATCTCTAGGTTTTTAGCATAGATCAGAATGGAAGTTCTGGTGGAGTTTGTGGGTTGTTATGTCTATCAAAATAAGACTTTGAATCGTTCAAATCCTTTCTGAGCTATGAAAAACAAAAAATGTCAAATTAATTGTAATTTGTGTTTTCTCCACAGTAAAAATTCAATAGTTCTGCGGAAATAAATTGAAATGATACGATATTCCACGGTTTTGCATCGTTCGTAGAGGCCCACCTAATGCACATAGACCCCTCTCAACAGCGGTGTATCATGCATGTATGTTTCCTCGTAAGATTTTTTCGAAAAAGTATTATTAAGTTTTGAAAAAAGTTCCCTCCCATTGGCGTCTTCTATTCCAGGGTAACGTACTAATCTGGAAAGACGATTCTTTAGAAGTTAAAGTTCGTGAGATTGTTTACGAGCTGATCTGTCTGAAACTATCAGAAATTGATTCTAAACATTTGTTTCATGTAGTATGTACAAACTCTCAGATGAGAATAAGAAAATGCATACAAAGCAAAAAAATAAAATAAAATATTCTGTTCTATGCAAAAAAAGAATATATAACTGTTCAAATAAAACAAACAAACAAAATAAATAAATAAATAAAAACAATTAATATCAGAACTAATAACTATATATTTGCTTATATTTTCTTGACGATATTTTAGTTTCTCTCGAAAAAAAGGTAAATTCATATACAAGGAACAGACGTTAAGAAAAAAAAATAGAAATACAAAAACAAGACAAAAATAAAGCCATCGGTGTGTTTGAAAGACGGAAAAGTAATTAATTATATACGCGCAGCAAAAATGTTAGATTGTCTATTTAATTATGCATTTATTTTACTTCTAACCTATACAATAGTGAAAAAGACTAGATTTACGAAAAATAATCGTATTTGGATTGATTAGAGCTTATATTTATGTTTAAAATCAATAAATTTTCTATTGTTATTATTTTTCGCGTTACACGCTTAAGGTCTTGTACTCGATTGGAAAAGGCAAATGTGGGATTGTATTAGCTGGAAGCTACGACAAACGCATGTTCGAAATATAAAAATAACATAATAAAGCCTTTAACTTGTTTTGGATGATTATTTAATATAAATTCTATGACTTTAACAACAACAAGAGTTATCAGTTTGATAATGTCATTTTGTTATATTCCGTTTATTTTAATATTATTGAGAATGATAAACCCTTTGTATGCAATACTGCGCGACAATAATACTAAAATAAAGAATGAATCAATTGTTATCTCATACAATAGTAGAACAATTAAAATGGTAGGAGAGAGATTGATCGATGCATTGAAGTAACTATTAATAAAAATGATGTTTCAATTGCACTTCTGATGACACATAAAACTTGAGATTCATTTATTCTTCAAAAAAAGATTGTCGATCAATAGTTAGTGTTCCTCTTAATAAATAAAAGTTTCTTGATTGAAAAGAGAATATATTGATCTGAGTTTCTAAACTAAATTTTTCATTTCTTAGAAGATAAAATCAAAAATTCATTTTTAAAATAGACCTTTCAAGTGTAGATCAAAGAATTTTCTATTATGAACAAGAGGAAAAAACAAAATAAACAAACCTATATATTCAATTTCACCATTAGTTTGAGCTATATGTATAAACGGTATATAAAATTTATAATGAACTTTCTTTCTTTTCTTCCCAAAATGTTGTGCATACGCTTGAGTTTTTTCTAAATGAAATAGATATTCGTAATTTTCCTTGACAATCATAGAGAATTATAGAATTTCATGCTGCTATACCGGAATGAGAAAATATTGCTTTATTTCGTACGATCTATGAAGTTTAACCACTTTATTTTAGCACCCATTGAGTTTTTAAACTCTCTATAATTCAAACATTCTTCTCGTGCTGTAAAATTGAAGTTCTGATTGTAATCTTTTTTTCTGGCTGAATCAGGCATACATTCATGTTCTCTTTTTTGTAATTCACATGCAAATGCGAGTAAAAGCTGCAAAAGTTATCGTGCAACATTTATTGTTGAACATCGAATATATAGTTGATAATTGCATAAGACCTACCTTGATTCAAAATCCATTTTCTCTGAATCCCTATTATGAGTTAATAGATCTCATAGCTGACATATTCTAAATAGGACCCAAAACAGCTCGACTTTTTTTTAAGACCTGTCTGCTACAAGTCCATGTAGGTAGACAGGCTGATCTGTTTCAAGTCCTGATTCTAAATGAACAATGGAAGAGAATACATATTTTACTTACTCTTGATGGTAGGATGTATCGTTATCCATACAACCGATTGTACTTTCATGCCATTTTTCCAATTCATGTAAATGTTGTAATTCTTTTGCCGAACAAGTGATCATATCAACTGGATAGATCAGATTAAATCTTGAATAATCAATTCTATATAGACCATCATCTCGTTGAAATGTAATTAAACGTTCAAAACGATAACCCCATAAAATCTCTGATGGTAAATAAGATGTTCTCGCTTGTGTTGTCATACCCGTTGACTCAATAATACCTTCAAGTATTACAACTAATTCAAAACGTTGTTTAGCTAAGTCATTTCTTCCAATATCCCATAGTGGCGATTGTTCATCGATTTCATGAGTAATAATTAATGGCCATATTAAAAATAGTCGATCGATTCCTTTATCAAATCCTACGTTCATATCGTATGTATGTAATGGTAATACTTCACCTTCTTTTGTCACTTTTTTCTTAATTAAATACATTCTTACGTGTGCTTCGACAATATGTGATTTTCGCATATCACCCACACGACATTGAAGAGTTAGACGACCATCTCTTAACGAGATAATCGCTTCCCGTGACCAAATAAGAGTTTCTGTACGTTTTTTTGGACGAGATATTTTAGCGAATACAACGCCGACCATAAAACTTTGAATCATAACGCCTAAAGATGATTGTAACATCATAATAATGATCGCTACATAACATGTCTCTTTAACAACACGTGTACCATAACCGATTGTTTGTTGAGTTTCGATCGAAAATAGTATAGCGCCTGCAAATGTTCTTACACCGTATATACAAGCAGAGTAATTTGCATTATGAAAATTTTCCTCTTTAAAATCGCCATAAGTGTACATTAATAAATACCAGACGATAGCAAATGCTAACCAACTAACACAAAATCCTAATGTGAATAAACATAGCGCCCAACGCCATTTCAAATCGATTAATGTGGTAAAAATATCAGCTAAATATTGACGACGACGTTTTTCAATATTAAATCTAAAAATATATAAAAAAAAATATTGAAATAAATTTAAAAATAAAAATAAATTAAATTAATTTACCTTGAAATATTCACTTCACCATTTTTGAGCAATAATCTCCTTTGTAGATTACCTCGAGATGTGAATTTTTGTAAAGCTGATTTTTCTTTTCCATCATGTTTACCGCCAAGTAATCTTAGAGCTTTTGTGCCTTTTGTAGTACATTGTAATCTAAAAAAGAATACTTAGAGAGATTAATTAATTATTTAAATAAGTTTAACTATAGAAATAAGCCTAAATAGAATGCGATAATACAGATCATGACAGTAGCTATTATCGAAGAATTTTGTTCTTATTCATATAGTTTTCAATTAGATACTCTTCTAAAAATGATTATTTTTAACATATTCATCGACTAGTAGTTTGATAGACGGAAATTTATAAGAAAAATGGCTGAATAAAAAAGAAAACTTAACTTTTTATCCATTAAATATAATTTAAGACAATGTATCATTTGATATGATGCACATCTTTTCATGACTGCTATCCTACATTTTTGAATCATCTTTTTGTGTTCATTATCAGTACAAAACTCTTACAATACCAAATAAAAAAAAAGTTTTCTTTTTTTTATAATAAGTCTGAAATATTCGAATAACATGACACAAGTTCTTGCCACACACCTAGAAATAGTTATTGATAAAATAGTGGCAATTAAGATCGTCTGAATAAGTATAATTAAATAGACAAAAAGAAAAAGAATTTGACTTATTGAATTTATAACTGTCTGACTTCAATTATCATCTCCCTTCAGTACTATTAAGATTTAATTAAAAAATATTATTTTTTTAGTATCAAACGATGTGCATAATTTATCAAGAAATATATTTATTAAAATAAAATTAAAATACTGACCTTGTCAAATGTGATGCATTATTTCCAATATATCCATTTCCTTTAACTAGTCTTGAATTTGTATTTTTCTCGTCAATCATTTCGGCAGGACTTTCTACAATCATTGGTGTTGTTATTTCGCTCAATGGTGATGGTGGTAGTTGTTCATCATCTTGACTGATAAAAGTATTTAAATTTAATAGACGATCTTTTGACATTTTTAATTGTTGTTGATTTAATGAATCTGTTGATTTATTTAATGAACCTCTTGTCCGTTTATACCAGGGTACATTCAATGATATTGCACTTAATTTACGAATTTGTGGTTTAGTTGTGGTTGATACAATTGAACTACTGTTACTACAAGATGCTTTTGTTACATAATAATTAAAATTACTACGATTATTAATTGTATTATTCGAATTTATAGTAGTACAATTTGTTAAACCCGATGATAATGGATGTAAATAATCGGTATTAAATTCATGTGTACTATAACGATGATGATGATCACGATTCGTATTATGTGGATTCTGTAAATTATTAAATTGATTATTTGCTGTTGGTAACAGGGATAAATGACTTGTGGTACCCGACATTTTGGTTTATTAATATTCTTAGTAAATTTATATTGATGATGTTCAACCCATGTAGCCTAAATAAAATAAATATATTATATAATATCGAAAATAAATTTAATATAAAAATAGTGATAAGATATTATTAAAATATCTAATTAAAATTTGAAAAATGACTTTCTATTTTATCATAATTTAATTAATTCATACATTCTTAATTGATTATTTCAATTGTATTGATCATACTAAACACGTTTATGTCTCAACAACAAAAAAAAAGAGTTTACAATATTTGTATAATAAAAATTTTTTCATGATTCACAAACTTATTGTGATAAATTATTGTGATGAGTTTTTTTTCCCATAATTTGTTTAAACGTATAGGGTTTTTTTTATTATTATTTTTAAAATAAAGTTGGTTAACTAAAGGAATAAAAAGAAAAAGACGAAGCCAACTCGATAGATCGTTACAATGTCATTAACCACTTTTTCTTGATAATTGTTGGCAACGCAAAGTTAAATAAATAATTGATATAATCACTCAAGAAAATTACCGTTTTACGTGTGGTCGGATGTGTACGTTAGAATTTTAAATATAAACTTTTTAATAAGCACGGAAAATGAATGTCATACTAAGATCTATCTTGTAAAATATCCAAACATAAGGTGAGTTCAATATAAATATACAAAGAATATTGAACAATGGATACAAATTTATAGTCAATTTATTTAAAATGAAGGATAAATATGAGGAAAAAAAAAGAAGAAAAAAATTCATAGTCATTTAACATATCAATTCATTATGTGAAACACAAAAAATAGTATGTGTTCTACCTGTTTGTCGTAGTAACGCTATACTTTGATGATAAACGTTGTATAATCTGAAAAAATTATATTCAACTATATCAATAAAGACAATAGACAATCTAATATTTCAGTTTTCTAATTTAAAAAAAAACATGCTTTCAGTAACCGTCATATTCAATAAATATTCAAATATTAATTCATTTAAATATATGTTCTTTTTTCTTTTTCTTTTGTTTTTCTATTTTTTTTTTTTTTTTGTATACTTTTATTAGTTTTAGTAGACTATTATTTCTAATAAACAACAATTCATATTTCTTATCGAGATTTTCTCTCTCTATTTTTCTGCTTCATGGGAATTTTTTCTCCTTTTTTTTTTTTATTTTTTATTCTTTGGTTATTAATACACGCACAATATTGCACAGATTAATGATTAGAAGAATCATTCATTTTCACTTATATTAGACTCATTCATCTATTTATAGTCTGTTTCCTTTTTCACTTCGTTTTTTAGACTATATACCTACTATTACAAGAGATGTATGACGAATGTAATAAGCACGTAACAAAAAAAGAAAAGAAAAATGAGAGTGATACAAATTAACTTTTTATCTTTTCTGCTGTTATATTTATCCATTTTGCATCTTTATCGATAGATTTTTTTGTTATTATTATTATTATTTTTATTATTATTTTTAAAGTAAATCTATTCGAGCCTTGATTATTCTTTGCGTTCTATATTTTGTTTTCTTTTATGAACCATTTCTCATGTTTGAAAAAACAAAACAAAAGAGGAGAAAGTCGTTTCCGTTTATTTTAAGTCTGACTGATTAAAAATAATACTTTAATAACAATTGTTATTTTACAATTTAATAAATCGAAAAATAGAGTTAGACATGTACATTTATCTCACACAATTTGTTCGTTCTACTATGTTAAGCTCAAGTGGTGAGAGCACACAATTCTGTTTTAAATTTTTTTTATTTTTCTTATTCTGGAAAGTGATTTTTTTCACTTTGATATCCATTCTCTAATCGTTTTATCTTTCTTCGCTTTGTTTGTAAAAATATTAACAAAAATAAAAAAAATAATTTTAAAAATTTAATTATAGAAAAAGAATATAACTTTTTTTAAAATGGAATTTAAAAACTATTTTACTATATAAATCAATTTCTTCTACAAACTCTTATATTAGATATTATTTTATTGAAAGTTGATCTTGTGTCTCTCGAAATCTTAATTTCATAAATCGATTAAACAGAGATATAACCTACAATGTAAAAGTAACTGGACAAATATCTCTTCATTTTTCTTGTGGTAAAGTACGTTCTGTGAATATCAAAAATAGTTATTTTGAATGTATACTTCGGGACCTTTCTAATTATATGTTCAGAAATATTCTATCGCTTTTAGTCTTTTGGCAGTGATCATTACCAAAAATTTAGTCGATAACGATAAAAATTTTGAATATTTTTTCATTTTGACAATAATCACGTCAAATTGAAAGATTAAACTTTGATTTACTGACTAGTTTATAAAGCAGAATTTTCTCTGCCAACTAGACAATCTTAAACAATTTTTGCAATTGAAAAACCTGGTCAAACTTTTAATTTTACTAAAACTCTGCTCTGTGCAAAAATTGTGTTTTTCCCGAAATCGTTTTTGGGTAAAAAATGATGTTAAAAAAAACGTGAATAATTTCCAACCATTATGTTGTGTATTCTATTTTAACATCTTATTGTGTAGAGAATTGTCTGAGTTCTACAATATACCGTAAAAACGTTTTAGTAATGTACTAGAAAAAATTTATATAAGAAATACAAGTACTGAGCGCGGTGCATGATAGGGTGAAAGGGGTCACACACTTTCCTGCTCTGGAAAAAAATATTTTCCGTCTGACCGAGAGAACATTTTTTATTGCGTTCTGTTGCAGAAAGCAAGAGCACAAAAAGTTTATCCACAAGAGACTTTCCATGCTTATTGATTTTGCCAATCCCGTGATTTACATTTGTCAAAAAATACTAGATTTTCTTTTTTTTACAAACTTAATTTTTAGAGCATAGCAAAGATTCACTCATTCTGAGGAGACTAAAAGGAATAGGAACTTTTTGAACATACAGTTCAAAAACTCTTTAAATGTAGATTTTCAACAGATTTTTTTCATTTTTCTGAAATTTAATCTGTAAAACTAAGTTTCATTAAAAAGAGACAAATCGAGAAGATGCAACGTTCGAAACAAGCAATTGTTCTTCTATATTCGTATAAAATACTTTTGTTTATTTTTTTATCCAAGATTTTAAAAATTGTCAACTCGAGAAAAATGAGATACTATTAATAAAGGACGATATTTTTTAAATAAACATGTAAAATTGAGATGAAAGAGTTCACTTGATTAGTACACGGTCATTGTTAATGCTCACTGCGTATATTCTATCAATTTTAAAATAATACACTTATCAATGAGTGAAAAGTTTTTATGTATTATTTTCTATTTGAAAAACATACTCTGAAATTTACAATGATTGTTAATATATTGAGAATATTTTAATAATCAAATAGTTAATGTTTAGATTTAAGAATGAACGCGATATTTTATTATAAAAACAAAGAAGTACAAAATTAAAATTCTTTTTTTTATGAACGATAAGTTGATTTCTTCTTTTTTTTTTTGTTAAAAAAAATGAATAAATAAAGTTTTTTAAAATAAAAAACAACAATTTCACTTTCACGATGACGTCAATGAATCTTACTGAAAATATAATATGTATAGAATAAAGTGGTATATTTTATTATTATTTAAAATAACATATAAAAATAGTTTCAATAAAAATATTTTAGGTATATCTATCTGTTCAACAACACTCGATGTTAAACAACAAACATACCATATTCTCTATAAGATTATTGATATTTATATTTTTAAAAGGAAACAAAATTCAATTTCATTCTACTCATTCACTATTCTATTATTATTAATAGACGATAATCTAGATTAGATAAATTGTCAAATTTATGTAGAATAAAAATATTAGAGAAACAAAATTAAAATCTCGAAATTCTATAATGATAACGATTGTCGTGTTTGTAACAAAATTTAAATGAATATGAAGAGAGAAAAAGAAAAAAAACCCGGAAGACATCAGTTTTATGATTTTATGAGAGGCGATGATTATTGTATACTATAAATGGTTTTTTCTTTTTTTTTGTGTTTTCTTTCATAGTAAATATGAAAATTATTCGAAAGTTTGAAGAAAAATAAAGATAAAATGAAATGTTTTCAGGTGAATAATTGTGGCTGTATTAGTTCCAATTATCAGATAACTGAAAGAGTGACTGTCATTTAATAACGCTAGTTTTCAGTGATTATTCGGAGTTATAATTTGTTAAATTTACATTTTTTTTCTACTTCTTGTTATTAAAAACTATCTCTTTAAAAAGGGCAAGAGTCAATAAATTAGAATTTTCTAAACCACTTCATATTTTTTAGTATAAAAAAAAAACGATTAAAATTTTGTCCGTCATTCGATTGATGTTAATATATCGGGAAATACATACATGATCATTTTTTTTTTTTATTATTATTGTAAACTGAGTCTTTAGAGAGATAAAATGTTAATAGTAGAGATTTTAGTACTTCTATCTCTAACATTTTTTTCTCTAAACAAAGCTTGTTATCCCAAATGATTTCGAAACTTTGATGAACTCATCATAACAAAACTTATTAATTCTCTTTTTAGGATAGATACTCGATATTCTTGTTCTTCCTTTTTGCTGTTTTTATTCGTATCTAGAATCAGTTTCCGGTATATAAGAGAAAGGGAGAACATTTTATGTATGTTAGTGTTATAGGACAATTACTATGGTCGTTCCGTGACTATGAAAAAGAAAATATTGATCAAGTAGAATTCTACTTGATTAATAACAAAAGATGATAATAAACAATTCAGAAGAACAGAAACCAAGACTTCCATGTCACAATGATCAAAACTCTTAGATTAGAAGAGAAAAACAACAACAGACTCAGAAGTTAAACACTTTTAATATACTAAGAAAAATTAAAATAGTCTAACTAAGTAGAGTAACAGTTTTGCCTATAGGGCAAAGAGAAAAAATATCAATCATTCAATTTATAATATATCTTCACTCTTTTAAACGCACTATTAAAACAAAAATTATTTGATAATAACGGAAAAAATTGATTTATTATTTTTTTTTCA